AGCTATTGCCAGCAGGAGAGTGGGGTGGGGGGAGGTATTTTTTCATGCTTTGTGTGTATAAAAGATCTTCTACACTTTCCACAGTATGCATCCGATGAAGTGAGCTGTAGCTCACGAAAGCTCATGCTCAAATAAATTGGTTAGTCTCTAAGGTGCCACAAGTCCTCCTTTTCTTTTTGCGGATACAGACTAACACGGCTGTTACTCTGAAACCAAACATTTTAACTGTTTAATGTTATTAGTGAAACAGACAGCTTGCATTTATTTTTGCCTCTGGCCCTGTTTAATACACGAGGTGTGCAGCAATCTCTCATTAGTGCACACCCTACAGTGTCTGACTACTTGTTTAACACACCCTCTGCTGTTTTATTTGATCTTTTCAACATTACATACAGTATTAGATTCCTAGGGCTTGATATTTTGAGAAGTTACCTGATGCTGTGACATGTACTTTTTAAAAAGAAAGAAACTAAAGCTGTAGAACTACCATGCCAACACATAATAAAGTTAACTGAAGAGAGTTATAAATTAAGTAGTTAATAAAAAGCTGTGTGAATTTCTTTTGTTCTTCCTCTTCGTATCATTCTGTATCTATTTTCTGCCTTTATATTTTTCGCCCCAAGTTCACTTTGTTCTTCTTCCTGGCCAGTTCAGCTTTTCTCTCCCAGATTATGTTTTTCCTTTCCCAGGGTATGTGTTTCCTTGGCTCTGTTATACGTCCCTCATTTACACCTACCTCAGTTCATACTACCCCTTCACTTCTTTGGCACTTCCCATTCTCTTTGCATTAGTTTTCCTTGTCTTATGCTCTCACAATATTTCAAATCTCAATGCATGCACAGCCAGGATTAAAGAGAAACTAGTGCATGATGTGCACAAGTCTGAATGGACACAGAACTACATAACAAGGAAACACAGGCATGAAATAATCAAGTTGGGAGGGGCAAGAGAGGTTCAAGAAAAGGAATAATGGGGAAGGGGAGGGGAAAACTAAGTACACCTGACAACTACCCCCCCCAAAAAAAAAAAAAAAAAAAAAGGGTCCTGCACCTAAAAAATGTTTGATGCATTTAAACCTACGTACATAGAAATGAGTTTGGGGATTTAAAATATTCATACAATAGATATTACAGTTGTAGCATGCTGATACAGTTTAGTCTAAGAATAGAAAAATATTCAGTACTACAAACAGCATTAATTCAGTCAAATTAAAAGCTTTTTTTTAAATTAAAAGCATTGTGACGAGTAGCAGAAGCAGCCCACATAAGTTGACCAAAGCCTATGTGAATGAGACAGGGAGCATGTAAAGCAGACATTGTTTGTGCTAGCTCTATAGACTAGCCTTTGTTAAACAGAAGTCTAATCATTAAACTTTTCCCAAAAAAAAGAGTGTAGGTAGGGTTTAGCCAGCTTCAAATGCTATTTTAAAAAATAGTAAAATATGTTTTTCTGCAGAATGCATTGCTAACTTCTTTAATGCCTTTTTTTTTTAAGCCACAGAAAAGGCTATGCCACACAGAGTAAACCATTCAGGCCAGAAAACATGTATTTTGTTTCTGAGAAATAGCATATTAAGTTGTGGTGCTAGATGGACAAGAACCAACACATACCCAACCTCTTAGGACAACTTAATTTAGTGTAGAGATTTTAAATGCGCTGGCAGTAAGCTTTTACTAAAAGTGTCTAAAAAGCAGGGGCATGAGCGTCAGCATCCAGTCAGTATTGGTTTTATATGTAAGACACCAAGGACTTACACCATTAGTCCACTATATTGAAACTATTTGAAATGTTTTTTTTCTGTCAGCAAAAGTAAGTTTTGGACTATATTTTTTTGTTCTCTTCAAACGAGTGCCCACTAGGGAAAGATAAGAAATAGTTGGAAGTAAATCTCATTCTGAAATTTGTATCAAAAGAACGTACGTTTAAAACTATGACCCACATGAATCCAATCCAATCCAACTTCTCTGTTCAGTAAGACTCCAATATTAAAGAGAGAGTTAAGCCCTGGGATGGAGCTATGTATAGGCTCTATCTATCTACACTACAATTAGGTCAGGGAACCTGGTTCCAACACAACTGTCCCCCACTTCTGGCTCCAGACTGTAGAGCAGATGAACCAAAAGAAGGCTACGAAATATGGATAAGGTCCAGTCTACACTATAAACTAGAGCAATGTTTGTAACCAAGTTCCCTGACATACTTGCTGTCTAGACATGTTGGGGTAAGCGCTGCCAAAACACCTCAATTCTGCTAGTTGCAACATCCTTGCAATCCCTATGTCACAGCTCCCATGTTATGGCTGTAGTCAGATTTATGAGGTGGACAAGCAGATGTGCTAGTAATTTGCTACTTAAACTGATAAAACCTGATAACGTTGTACACATAACATGGGGAAAACATTTGACTTTCAGTGGTGAAAATAGGGTATAGATCACAGGTACAGCTACCCCAAGACTTAGCTTACAGTGTACATCATTATCAGTTCCCTATGTTAGGTAGGAGTATCAAATTTGTTAAAAATAAGAAATTTCTGAATATCAAGAGTAGTGTTTCCTTACATGCAGAATACTATCACTCATTAGGACTTCAAATATGTTAGCATGTACAGCCATCAACCAGATATTCAAATTGCCCCAACTTGCAAGCAATAAATTGACCCTTGCATCTTTTAGAGCATGAATTTCTCAGAAATTACATGAAACAGTATCAGCTTGCATACCCTAGTCCCTGCTGTTCAGTATGAGATGTTTATCTGGTAGGCTAAAATACAAGATACTAGAACATCAGAATTCCATAATTAAGTAGTAATTTCTGCATATCTTACAAATGATTAATGCACTGTATTCCACCACCCACGTTCTACGTACAGGTGCACATTCTGTTCGGAACCACATAGCCCAGGTAGAACGAAAGGAAGAATTTTTGCCTTCATTTGAAGTTGAATCTTACCAAGGCAAGAAAAGGTAACTCAATAGATGATGAAAACGAGAACAATTGTGTGTATGCCTAACACAGCTTTTCAAAAGTTTATCAGATACAAAACCTACTTCACTTGCCCTTCACCATGACAATGTTGAAAAACTAAAAATCTATTTTATTCACTTGGCACTTCACCCCAGCAAGAAGAAAATTTTACATAACTGGTTTACTAGTTTATGTAGTTTATTGTTACTACTTTTGACAACTGTAAAATTAAGGCATCCAGCAATACCTGAGTCTATTTCAACTTTACATTACAATGCAATCAGAAACTAACAGTACACAGGTTTCAGAGGAACAGCCGTGTTAGTCTGTATTCGCAAAAAGAAAAGGAGTACTTGTGGCACCTTAGAGACTAACCAATTTATTTGAGCATGAGCTTTCGTGAGCTACAGCTCACTTCATCAGATGTTTACCGTGGAAACTGCAGCAGACTTTATATACACACAGAGAATATGAAACAATACCTCCTCCCACCCCACTGTCCTGCTGGTAATAGCTTATCTAAAATGATCAACTACCAGCAGGACAGTGGGGTGGGAGGAGGTATTGTTTCATATTCTCTGTGTGTATATAAAGTCTGCTGCAGTTTCCACGGTAAACATCTGATGAAGTGAGCTGTAGCTCACGAAAGCTCATGCTCAAATAAATTGGTTAGTCTCTAAGGTGCCACAAGTACTCCTTTTCTTTTAACAGTACACAGGCATTAGTTTCATATGAATGTCAGCCATTAGCATTTTAGAAAAGCATCTCAAGAACTAGATATTATCTTTCATTTTAGCACATGCTACTCATTAAGATGCTGAAATGCGTCAAGACACTAAAGAATTGAGGAAGCAGCATGGGCTACAGGATCAAGTAGGGGAACAGAAAACAGTGTCCCCAGTTCTCCTCCCACCAATCCAACAGGCTTGCTAGGAAGTTTTGAGCAAGCCATTTAACCCCATATCTATTTTCCCCATCTGTAAGATTAATTTTCACAATGTTGTAGTAAAGGTGGTAAAAACAGTTAGTAGTTGCACAACACTATGTATATGAGCAGTAAGTATTCATAGCACTGAGATGCTCTACTGAAAGTGGTCATACCTTGCATATAAGACTCACACTTCTCAAAAAGAAAGGAGTACTTGTGGCACCTTAGAGACTAACAAATTTTACACCACGACACGTGACTATCTGCAGGATAGTGTCTGGGTTTAGAAGTGGCAATAACTTGTCATCCCCTTGAACAACAAAGTTAACATTGCCCCCTATAAAAATAGTGAAAGCAAAGAACACAAGACACATGACATGTATAGGAAACGTAAGGGGGAGGTGTGAAGAATAGGCAAATACTTCAGTGGTACTGAAGATTCTCACATAGTTCACAGATTCACGCACACACTACAGCACTCATCACAGGTAAACAAAAGTAAGTAGGCGTTAAGTGACGCGACTAAGCAAGGCGTGTAGAGTTTGGTCCTACAGGGTAGTAGATTCACAGAAACAGGGCGCAGACGGATCTCCACGCACACGCTACTTACCAGTAAGCAGTCACAGTTCACTTCAGATTTGGGGTCCTTTAACATCACATCGATTTTTTCAAACCGAGCCTCAAAGTTTTCGCCTGTCGACATGTTTTCGGGAATAGAGTTTTCCTTATTCCAGAGCAAAGCAGGGTAAGCTACCAGGCTACGATGCTTCCTAGGTAGCCTCCGGATCAGAGAAGTCAGGGGCGAGGGGGAATGGAAGTCTCACGCGCTCCCCAAAAGATTTAGAGCCGAGGGTGGGGTAGGAAGAGCTGCCCCCTTCTATCCACACACACAAGCGTTTCTAGGCTGCGATCGCAACCCCGCAGACTCCCTCGCTCCACCGCGGTCTCGCCAGCCGCATTCCCCCAGCCAGGCGGCCGCCCTCGGAGCCAGCGGAGCGGTTCCTCCTCTTGCTGCTGCTCGGCGCCAGCTCCCGAAGAGCAATTTCTTTTGAAGCAAAAACCACCATGAAAACAGGAAACTCCTCAGCGCCTCGGAGCTACTCCCTCCATGGAGCCCCGGGGCGGGGTGCGGGGACCGGCGCTGCCCCCGCCCTGTGCCCAAGCTGCTCCGGGCAGCGGGGTGCCAGCTGCGCAGGCCGCCCTGGCCCCCACTTCCGGGGGAGAGGCCCCCCCTCGAGCGCGGCGACACCCCTCGGGCACGAGCGGCTTCAGCGGAGCGACGGCAGCATCTTCCTCCCTCGCTGCCTGCCCCCGGCGGCGGCTCCTCCTCGGCTGCCCCGCGCCCCTCCTCACCGGCCCCGCAGGGACTCGCCGCCCGACTCCAGCCCCCGGCCGGGAGCTGCGCTTCAACTCGCCGCAACTTCCAGCCCCGGCTCCTCGCCCATCTCCCTCCCGCACAGACCAGTCGGAGGAAGCCGCTGCTCCCGTGGAAGGGACCAAGCGAGGCTGTGGAAAGGAAAGGGCAAAAAGGAAGCAGAGCAAGGTCCGGCCGCGGCTGCCTCCGGGAGCGAGGAGGAGACTCGCACAAATATGTCCGCCTTCCTGTTTAAACAGACCGAAAGGGCCGGAACCAAACGCGCATGCGCTGCGGAAGAGCGCGCGAGCGAGCGGGGCGGGGAGGAAGCTCGCTATCCCCAAGCCCACCACTGAACGGCCGCCGAGCACGCGCAAGCGAATCTCCTGCCCGCGCATAAATGAACTGACGGGTGGAAGCGCGCCCCCCAGCCGGATGCACACGTGCCTCCGATCGCTTTCGCCGCTGGAGGGTACGCGAGCGATCTCTTGTGGGCCAATCACCGCCAGCGGAACGTTGAGGTGGCAGGAGGTGAGATGCTGCAGAGAGTAGGAGACTTGTGACATGTCTTGCCCCAGAAAAGCAAAATGTCCAGGGCACTGTAGACTGGGAGTGGACATTTGGCCGGGAAGGAGTGTCTCTAGCTCAAAGTCTGCTTCCCTGGACACATTCCATACTAGTCTGCAGTTTACAATCAGCCAAGAGCGACATGTAGAACAGACTGAGAAAGTAAAAATAATACATCAGGAAGTTTAGAAAGACACCTCACCTATACAGTATTTCTTATGTCGCTACTTCATTTTGATAAAGTGGAATATCTATGGACAAATATTAATTTGTAACATTAATAAGGAACATCCCTTTTAATTATTAATCAAGTGGTATAGCCTCATTACTGGGGCCCTACCAAATTCACAGCCGTGAAAAACATGCCATGGACCGTAAAATCTGGTCTCCCCCTGTGAAATCTGGTCTTTTGTGTGCTTTTACCCTATATGATACAAATTTCACCCACGGAGCCTGGCGCCTATGGCAGGACATACATTGCCTCTAAGGTATGCACATCCGCGGTCATGCAGGAGGCCACCAAGGGCCACACAGGCATGCACACTGCTGCACTCAGGGGCATCTGATGAGGTGGGGGGTGGTGATGGAGAAGCGTGGGGCATGCAGGGCTGTGGCAGGTCCTCCAGCCCCGGGTCTGCGGTGGGGTCAGACGCCTCTCCCTCTCTCCAGCCCCAGGGCTGTGGCGGGGCCAGACGCCTCTCCCTGCTGCTCCCCAGCCCCCGCGGGGCCAGACGCCTCTCCCTGCCGCTCCCCAGCCCCCGCGGGGCCAGACGCCTCTCCTCCCCATGCCCCGGGGCTGCGGCAGGGTCAGACGCTTCTCCCCCACCCCCAGCCCCAGCGGGGCCAGACACCTCTCCCACAAACACAGCCACAAGGCTGTGGTGGGACCAGACACCTCTCTCCCTGCCCCGGGGCTGCGGCGGGGAGAGAGGGCTGGGGCAAGTCCTCTCTCCCCACCACAGCCCCAGGCAGCCTGGGTCCCAACCCCCTCACCCCCCACACCCAAACCCTCTGCCCCAGTCTTGAGCTTGCTCCCGCATTTCAAACCCCTCAGTCCTACCCCCACCACACATCACTTCCATATTGATGCACATAACAAAATTTATTCCACACATGGATGGGAAAAATTAGAAGGAACATTGGTCAGGACCCCTACAATTACACAACACCTTGAAATTTCAGATTTAAATAGCTACAATCATGAAATTTACCATTTTTAAAATCCTATGACCATGAAATTGACCAAAATGGACCATGAATTTGGCAGGACCCTAATCGTTGCATATCTTCATGGAGATGTCCATGTGCAGATTCAGTTGACTCCTTGACTCCTGTTGCAGTTATAAAAACTGTTTTATATAAAACTTGTTTTATGAGGACTACTAGTCATTAGATAAGGAAAAGTTTAATGATGTGATAGTCTCTATCAAGTGTAGAACCAATGCATTATATTTGTTTTTTTTTCTTAGCCATAACTGTGTACCTCCAATGATATTAATAAAGTATATAAAGTTATTGTTGAAGTACACTTACTGCTGAATACTTGTATTGACATTTGATTTAACTCATTTCCTGCTGGCTGTTACCACAAAACCTTGAGTGCAGGGTTGGGTGTTCTTTGAAATGGCAGTATTCTGTTTGAACAACCACAGTCCAGAGAGAACATATCATGTACCAGAGGGTGTATAGAATCATAGAATATCAGGGTTGGAAGGGACCCCAGAAGGTCATCTAGTCCAACCCCCTGCTCGAAGCAGGACCAATTCCCAGTTAAATCATCCCAGCCAGGGCTTTGTCAAGCCTGACCTTAAAAACCTCTAAGGAAGGAGATTCTACCACCTCCCTAGGTAACGCATTCCAGTGTTTCACCACCCTCTTAGTGAAAAAGTTTTTCCTAATATCCAATCTAAACCTCCCCCACTGCAACTTGAGACCATTACTCCTCGTTCTGTCATCTGCTACCATTGAGAACAGTCTAGAGCCATCCTCTTTGGAACCCCCTTTCAGGGAGTTGAAAGCAGCTATCAAATCCCCCCTCATTCTTCTCTTCTGCAGGCTAAACAATCCCAGCTCCCTCAGCCTTTCCTCATAACTCATGTGTTCCAGACCCCTAATCATTTTTGTTGCCCTTCGCTGGACTCTCTCCAATTTATCCACATCCTTCTTGAAGTGTGGGGCCCAAAACTGGACACAGTACTCCAGATGAGGCCTCACCAATGTCGAATAGAGGGGAACGATCACGTCCCTCGATCTGCTCGCTATGCCCCTACTTATACATCCCAAAATGCCATTGGCCTTCTTGGCAACAAGGGCACACTGCTGACTCATATCCAGCTTCTCGTCCACTGTCACCCCTAGGTCCTTTTCCGCAGAACTGCTGCCTAGCCATTCGGTCCCTAGTATGTAGCTGTGCATTGGGTTCTTCCGTCCTAAGTGCAGGACCCTGCACTTATCCTTATTGAACCTCATCAGATTTCTTTTGGCCCAATCCTCCAATTTGTCTAGGTCCTTCTGTATCCTATCCCTCCCCTCCAGCGTATCTACCACTCCTCCCAGTTTAGTATCATCCGCAAATTTGCTGAGAGTGCAATCCACACCATCCTCCAGATCATTTATGAAGATATTGAACAAAACCGGCCCCAGGACCGACCCTTGGGGCACTCCACTTGATACCGGCTGCCAACTAGACATGGAGCCATTGATCACTACCCGTTGAGCCCGACAATCTAGCCAGCTTTCTACCCACCTTATAGTGCATTCATCCAGCCCATACTTCCTTAACTTGCTGACAAGAATACTGTGGGAGACCGTGTCAAAAGCTTTGCTAAAGTCAAGAAACAATACATCCACTGCTTTCCCTTCATCCACAGAACCAGTAATCTCATCATAGAAGGCAATTAGATTAGTCAGGCATGACCTTCCCTTGGTGAATCCATGCTGGCTGTTCCTGATCACTTTCCTCTCATGCAAGTGCTTCAGGATTGATTCTTTGAGGACCTGCTCCATGATTTTTCCAGGGACTGAGGTGAGGCTGACTGTCCTGTAGTTCCCAGGATCCTCCTTCTTCCCTTTTTTAAAGATTGGCACTACATTAGCCTTTTTCCAGTCATCCGGGACTTCCCCCGTTCGCCACGAGTTTTCAAAGATAATGGCCAATGGCTCTGCAATCACAGCCGCCAATTCCTTCAGCACTCTCGGATGCAACTCGTCCGGCCCCATGGACTTGTGCACGTCCAGCTTTTCTAAATAGTCCCTAACCACCTCTATCTCCACAGAGGGCTGGCCATCTCTTCCCCATTTTGCGATGCCCAGCGCAGCAGTCTGGGAGCTGACCTTGTTCGTGAAAACAGAGGCAAAAAAAGCATTGAGTACATTAGCTTTTTCCACATCCTGTGTCACTAGGTTGCCTCCCTCATTCAGTAAGGGGCCCACACTTTCCTTGGCTTTCTTCTTGTTGCCAACATACCTGAAGAAACCCTTCTTGTTACTCTTGACATCTCTGGCTAGCTGCAGCTCCAGGTGCGATTTGGCCCTCCTGATATCATTCCTACATGCCCGAGCAATATTTTTATACTCTTCCCTGGTCATATGTCCAACCTTCCACTTCTTGTAAGCTTCTTTTTTATGTTTAAGATCCGCTAGGATTTCACCATTAAGCCAAGCTGGTCGCCTGCCATATTTACTATTCTTTCGACTCATCGGGATGGTTTGTCCCTGTAACCTCAACAGGGATTCCTTGAAATACAGCCAGCTCTCCTGGACTCCTTTCCCCTTCAAGTTAGTCCCCCAGGGGATCCTGGCCATCCGTTCCCTGAGGGAGTCGAAGTCTGCTTTCCTGAAGTCCAGGGTTCGTATCCTGCTGCTTACCTTTCTTCCCTGCGTCAGGATCCTGAACTCAACCAACTCATGGTCACTGCCTCCCAGATTCCCATCCACTTTTGCTTCCCCCACTAATTCTACCCGGTTTGTGAGCAGCAGGTCAAGAAAAGCGCCCCCCTAGTTGGCTCCTCTAGCACTTGCGCCAGGAAATTGTCCCCTACGCTTTCCAAAAACTTCCTGGATTGTCTATGCACCGCTGTATTGCTCTCCCAGCAGATATCAGGAAAATTAAAGTCACCCATGAGAATCAGGGCATGCAATCTAGTAGCTTCCGTGAGCTGCCGGAAGAAAGCCTCATCTACCTCATCCCCCTGGTCCGGTGGTCTATAGCAGACTCCCACCACTACATCACTCTTGTTGCACACACTTCTAAACTTAATCCAGAGACACTCAGGTTTTTCTGCAGTTTCGTACCGGAGCTCTGAGCAGTCATACTGCTCCCTTACATACAGTGCTACTCCCCCACCTTTTCTGCCCTGCCTGTCCTTCCTGAACAGTTTATAACCATCCATGACAGTACTCCAGTCATGTGAGTTATCCCACCAAGTCTCTGTTATTCCGATCACGTCATAGTTCCTGTACATAGTGTACTGTATGTGTATATTTGTGCAAGGGTTTTGTATGTGACGCAGCAAGTAAATCTGTTACAAATACAGCTAAAATTACCTTTATAGCCATAATAGTTAAAGAAAATGGCAGTTAAAGTGTACATTTTAAAAAAATATGAAAGGGACAGATTCAGCTACAAAGACCTCAGAAAGAAGAGAAATTGTAAGTTGAAAAGCAAACGCTGATGGCATAGAGCAGTGGTTTTCAAACTTCTTTTCTGGGGACCCAGTTGAAGAAAATTTTTGATCCCTGTGACCCAATGGAGATGGGGATGCGGGGTTTGCGGTGTGGGAGGGGCTCAGGACTGGGGCAGAGGGTTGGGGTGCAGGGGTGAGGGCTGCAGGGTGGGGCCAGGAATGAGGGGTTCAGAGTGTGAGTGAGGGCTGTGGGCTGGGGCAAGGGGTTGTGGTGCGGGAGGAAGTCAGAGCTCTGGGCTGGGGGTGCAGGCTCTGGGGTGGGGCCAGGGATGAGGGGTG